AATCTCTCTAATAATCTTTTATCTTGGTACTGCCAAGAGCTATGGTCTATTTGTAATATTTATCAGCATCAATAAGAACTCTCTCGAAATATTATTGTCAAAGCTAAATGTATAAAATTTTACTTTCCCAATATATTTACTTCTTCAAATAATTCTTCAACAATAATATAACCTTTAAACATTAATCTTTTTATCTATAAATAGCTCTTACAATGATATGCTTTAACTGTATGCTTTACTTAATGTTATAATTATCACCTTAGGTTTTTCTCCAACCTATTCTAGCTAGAAATTAGTTTGAAATAATTAACTATAGCATTTTATAAAAAATAGGAGGTGTAATATCATATTGGGTGCCTTATACAATACAAATATAGTTTAGAAATCTTTAAGTTTGGAATTATTTTTCTATCTATAATAAAATTTCTACTATGCCATTATATAAATAAAAAAAAAAAATTAATAATACAAATTTATACAAATTATTTCATCAATATCAACCTTGTTAATATTAATCTAAGCTACAAAACAAATTTTTATATATTTTTATATATCAAAATTCTTTTAATACATATTAACTTTAATATAATTTCTTATTAATATTACTATCAATATGATTTAAATCTAATTCAAATAAATTGATATTAATAAAGGTAATCTGTAATTTAATAAAAAAATTTTTAATAATTATTCAGATTAAACTTTATCAAATACAAATTAAAGATTAAAGCCTAAAATTTAAGTTTATTTTTAATTTTGTTTTATAAATTGTTATTAATAAAATTTTAAAATATAATATGAGATCTTTGTCTTGAAAATCAAGTTATAGAATATAATAAATTATATGTCATATATTTGATTTTTAAGACAAAGACTTCATATATCAAAATAAATATACTTAATAGGTGATTTATTAGTTATTTGAAAAGTTATGTAATACAGATTATACAAGATTTATATATAAATTATATATAAAATTTTCAATTAATAAATGTGAAGATATTATATTAAACTTTTTTCTTATTAAGTAAATTACTCTTAAGCTCATAACAAAAGTTGTAAAGCTTCATAACCAGATCTGAAATCCTTATTGTATAAAACTATCTGAATGGAAACAACAAAACAACATCCCTACTCAACCTAACCGAATACAAATTTTGAATCAACAAATTACCAATTCTACAAATAATCGTATACATAATCAATACAGAATACCCCATACTTACAGTTGTTTCTGTGGTCTACCAGATCAACAACATACTGATAATATATGCTCACCTCTTAGAAAAGCTATTAGAAAAATATTTTTATAGACAATTCAATGGATTAAATATAGTACACCAACTAATAACATAATAAATTATCAAATCTAGTTGAGTTTTAACCACTCTAGTAGGTTTAGGTTATAGATAAAATAGTCTGAGTCTCATTCTTGTATAAAAATTTGTAAAATATGGCTTTGGCCAGAAAAACCTCTTGTGGATTCTTAACACAAATTATTAATTAAGATAAAGGCAAAACCTCACCTTAATATAAAAAAAAAAAAAACAAAAGTTGTAAAGCTTATTAAGACACATTTAATGGTGGTAAGAATATTAAAATTAGTCTGATAGTTCTTAAGAAATCTTCAAAAATATTTCATTAATATATAAAATTTCTTTAAAAAAAATCGATTTTTTTAAAGAAATTTTATATATTAATGAAATATTTTTGAAGATTTCTCAAGAACTACTAAGCTAATTTTAATATTTTTACTACTATTAAATATATCTTGATAATAAGCTCTATAACTTTTATTATAAGCTTAAGAATAATTTACTTAATAAGAAAAAAAGTTTTAGATATAATATTTTCATATTTAATTCAATAATAAAATTTACTTATAAAATTTGCAGATCTTCTTCAGATAATAGATAAATTGTTTATTAAATCGTTTTAAAAAAATTAAACTATTTTTATTAAAGATGTAACAATTTAGAGTAGTAGTTAAGTTTTTAATTTCTAAGCAACAGGTTTAGAGTTCAAATTTTATTAGAGACATTTTTAGAAAAATAAATCTATATATCAATAATATTTATTTAATAATTAGTTGGATATATTATCTATAACCTTGGTATTACTTTTTAAAATAGAAGCTCTTGAGTAATCTAAATCTAAAGAACTAAAATATTTAAAATCTGTTTGGCAAGACCCAAGCAAGAGATAGTAAAAATCTTTAACAATACTGCAAAAAACTAAAATCAGTAACTAAAAAACTAAATGAAAACACTGAGTTAAGAAAAGTCCATCAATCTAATTACTGAAATTATACTGAGAAGTAAAATCAAAAGGCTAAATATAACAATTTATTTGAGTTAACTAGTTTAGTAGTTAAGAAGAAATTAGTAAAAAACTGATTTGATATATATATTAGAATCAGAATAAACCTTATAAGTAAGATGTCTAATATAGTAGCAAAGGCATACTAATAATAGTATGCTATAGTAGTATACTAGTGACATGTTAAATTTATTTTTGATATACTACTGGATATAGTATAAAAACTATATTTATAGAATCTATATTATATATTAAACTTATAATAATATATTTTTTTAACATATTAACAGTCTTGCTAGTATTCTTATTAGATCAAAGCATATATATACATATATTTAACTATCTAAACTACAGATTTAATATTTTCTAGCTACTTTATTAGGTGTTCAGAGATGGTCTGCCTTATCAGTTAAAGCATTTTGTCTACACTAGAGAGTTGCATTAAGCTAGCTTGTGAAGCTATATCAAAATAGCTTTATTTTATTTTTAATAAAATTTTTAATAGCCTCAAACCAAGTACTTTCTTTTTTAGTTATTTCTTCCTCTTTACTCTTATCATTTTCTTTTTTTTTTAACTTTCCTTGGTTTGATCTTGACTACTTCCTCCTATTGGAATCGATTCTTTCTCTTTAATGCTAGAATTTAGTTTCTCTAAAATGATGCTTTTTCTTTTTTTCTCTTTTGGATTTATTTTTTTCTTTTTTTTCCAATCGTTTATATATACATATTTTTAGTTTTCAAATATTTTTATAAAAATAGTTCCAAGCTAAGTTTATTGCTGTATCTAAGTAGCTTCCATATGGGCAGATTTGCGTAATTACTAATAAAAATAATAAAATATTTGACAGTGAATAACTTTTTATTCACTGATCCGTTTGGAATGATTTTACCACCAAAATGACCATCTCGTTGAGACAATTCTAGCGAGCCTAAAATTGTCGAAATCTAATCATGAGATTCTGAGATAATTAAAAGTTTATTTGCTTCGGGTAAAATAGGATGGGTTAAACCCATCCTATTTTACCCGAAGCAAGAAGAACTTCAATTATCTCAGGATCCCATGATTAGATTTTGACAATTTTAGGCTCGTTAGAATCGTCTCACTGAGATGTTCATTTTGGTGATAAAATCATCCCAAACGGATCAGTGAATAAAAAGTTATTCACTGTCAAATATTTTATTATTTTTAGTAGTAATTACGTAAATCCGCCCATATGCTAAGTTTTTTTAAGCTTTCTACTACTTCAAAATTTTTTTTACAACCTTTTTTTTGATCAATTCTTTGAGAACTATACATATCACCAAAATAGGTTTTCAAAAAATCCTATTTTGTCTCTATTAGAACAATTTAAAATTTTTATATATAATAGCAAATCTAATTTAGGTAGTTATATTCCTTATAATTTCATCTCTTTTAAAAAAAGTATCAAAAAATTTTGTCTTTTAAGTAAAATAGGTCAAAAACAATTTTGTTATCAAATTTTAATTTCGTATCTCGAAATCTAAAATAATTTCATTGGCATGTATATTGAGAACATCAGCTTTAGTTTTATTTTTTTTTTCTTTTAATAAACTCTACAAAGCTCTCTTAAGTTATACTTTATTGAGACAGCTATGATTTTCTTCTAATAAAACTACCCAGACCAAGTTTTAAGCTAGCTGCTCTGCTTCTTTCTATTTTATTTCATAATTTCACATATTATTAAGTATTTCTAATCTTTTTCTTTATCTTTTTCACATATTATACATATTAGACTATTATATAATTCTGATTTTTTGACTGATAATATTTTCAAAACTGTTAGTTTTTTATGCAAATACTTGACTAGCACATCTAGACGCTTCTTTTTTCTTGAATTTATACATTATATACCACTTTGATTTCTAATTTTTTTTTCATAAAATAGGTTAGTATCAGGTCTATATACTGTCTTTGGGTTCTACTTTCCTTATTACTGAAGAAGATTTCTATTCTACTTCTGTCTTAAGGTCAAGAATTATTCATAGAAACTCTTTTGTGAGATCAATATTAATTGTCACAGATGATGCTGAAGACAAATAATAATCTTTTATATAAATATCTAGTATTAATATTAGAGTTAAGTTAGGGTAGAGAAAGGTTTTTTTTTTATTTTACATATATTATATCTAATTCTATTAGAATAATTACAATATGATTATACTCAAACCTTAACCCTAATATTAACAGTAAAATTTTTTAGTTGATGATGTTAGAGTTTTATAAGCACTTTAGGCTTGTTTATTCAGAAGATCATCATATAATCACATAATTTTTAGCATCATCCATTTTCAGCATCATCTGTGATATTAATTATAATGATTTTTTCAGAAATATTAGCAAGATCTGAAGGCAGTTTATGATCATTTAAAAAGAAATTGACAAGATATATGCCTATTTTGAAATGATTAACATAAATTTGCATCTGGTCAATTGGTTATCAAATTAGTTGATATTTTATTACATTTGAATGAATAAGTTACCAAATTTTGGTTACTATCAACTATTATCAAATAAAGTTGTGTTTTGCTTTCACCTTTCATCTTCAGTAAGTATATCATCAATCTAGATAATAAGCTATTAAAAGTACAAAAAAGTGATACTTTTCTGATATGCCTACTTTATTTTAAACTTTTTTATCTGTAACTATAATAGAATCAATTCAGCTTAATCCAAGTGCTAATAAATTAACAGATTCATCCAGAACTTTTCTCTTTAGTATAAATTTTGAAGGTATAGAGAAAAGACATCAATACAATTATACAATATAATACAACTCATAAACACAACTAAATTCAAGTCCACAAAATAAAGAATTCTGATGTCTAGTAATTTTTTGTCAAGATCAGTTAAGTTATTTAAATCTATTTCCTAATGATCTGTCATATATTCTGTAAGATTGCAAATATATTTCCTTTCATCAAAATTTATTTTGTTTATTTCATTTTGTTAGTGTAATATAAGTACTATTTATATTTCTGAAAAAGTTTTTTATGCAATACCTTTTTTTATTATTTAATGATTAGCAAATTATTATTAAAAACCTTTAAAAACTCATGAAGGATGCTGGATGTTTACAAAACTCTCTTTTAATTTCGAGTTGTAAATTTTATAATATACTATTTATATTTATATCAATCTTGTATAATTCAAAAAGCTTGCCTATTTTTTCATATTAAATAATGACATTTTTATAAATTTAGCTTTACTAAAAGGTGATATAAGCATTTGGGAACTTTGTTTTCAAATTCATGAGGATAAAAGTATTTATAACAATATAATATAATTTGGTACTTGCAATTTTTTGAAAGAATTGTTTAGACACATTACAGAGTATTAATTTTGAAAAATATATTGAAATTCATTAATAAAGAGGTATAAAAGGTCTTCTAAATCAAATATACATTGATAAGTTGCTACTTTATTCAGCTTTTTTATAAAAAGTAGTTAAGATTTAAAATGAAAATTTCTTCTTCTTTCTTTGTTAAAATCAACTCTTTTATATTTATTATTTTGATATATATGCAGGCTAATTTTTTACATCTAAAAATTTTCTTGAATTCTAATAATAAGGTAGACTTGCTGCTTTGACAAAGACTGTGAATAATAAATAATTGTCTCTTTAAAAAATCTGCTTTAACTTTTCAAAAAAATTTTTTTCACATGTGGAAAATATTAATAAACCTTAAGTAGATGTAATAAACTTTCGATAATTAAAATATAATTATTGTGTTATCTTTACTGGTAGTAATGCGTTATTCTATATTTTCTTTTTCATTTTTAATGTTTTGCTATATCAGTATACAAAAAAAAATATATAATGTAAGCAAAGATTCTTAATATAAGAAAGTAACTAGTTCTTTTTCTAGAAACAATATTCTTAATCAAAGACCTCATAGTTAAGTTATAACTGATACAGTATACTTTTGATATAACTAAAGGCTCCTCGCTAGTAGCCATGGAATACAGAGTATATTATACTTAATTATATCTCATTTATGCTTTAAAACACTAACCTTTACCTATTTTAATTAGTATCTTAATGCAGATATCTTTTTTCTCTCTTTTGTTTTTAGGTTAATCTTCTTAACTAGTATTTGCAAATCATTTATCAGAGCACTATACGACTTTCTTTCTTTTGTTTTATTAAGATACTTTTTTTCATAAAACATGTTCTAAAAGAAATTTCTATTCTTCATGTGTTTGTCTCCAATATTCAGAATGTTGAAGCTTGTTTAAAATTTTTTCTGATACTATTTTTGTTAAAAAAAGTTTATAGAATTTTTGAAATACGAAAATAAGTGCATTCTTATATATTTAGAAAAAAAAATGCAAACTAAACTAATAGAATATGCAAAAAATATGCAAATCAAAATTTAATAAAAAGAATTTTTATATAATAAAGTCAATTGATATATATTTAAATTGCATCTAAAGTATTTAATTAAATAAGTATACAACCCATAACAATAAGTCTTTCTATTAAAAAAAAACAAATTTTTAATATAAAAAAGACTTAAAAAAAATTGAATTTTTCATAGATAATATAAAAACTGACTTTGTAACTTTATAATAACAATAAATTAATAGTAAAAAAGTTTTACTAAAAAGAAAGATGCGACCTATGCATCATATTAAGTGATCACAAATCATTTTTTCACTTTTAATATTAATATTAAAAAAAAAATAAGAAAAAAAAATTGCAGTTTATCAAGAGTAATTTCCTTTTTAATAAGAACAGTATATTTATATAAATATTCAGAACAGTGTTTAAAATTCTGCAGTACTAATAAATTTTTTTTGCACAAAAATACAGAAGTATATGACTATTCAACTTGCATAATTAATTGTTTAATTGTACAATTCGTGGAAAAATTTTTGTATGAATATATTGTAAATTATATATAAAGAATATATTAGAAAACAGAAACCATTATTGATCTAGAACAAACAAAAATATGCAATAGAGATGAACAAAAAATTTATTACTGTGATACTTTTACTGTCTCTTCTTAGTATAAAGTTATATTCAACTCCTAAGAAGATTTTCTGTAATTTTATCTTTATTTTTTATTCTAGATCCTAATTTTGCTAATTTGTCTGCTTTATTGTTTAATCTATTGTTACTATAACCTTTAACATTTTCTAATTCTAGTTGTATTTTCTTCATTTTAACTATATCTAAAATACACTTTACTAGATTGTAATTCCCTTCTTTAAACTATTGTTTTGCATACTATTTTGTTCCTTTCCTTCAACTTTAGTTATATTTACTGCACTATTTGTATAAATCTTGATTTTTTCTTTGCTAAGTATAATAAACAATATGCCAGTTCTGCTTTTGTTAAAGATGGCCAATTTCTTGCTTTTTTATTCTATCTGAATTTAACTAAGCTTGTCTTCTACTATTTCTTAAAGATTTATCAGTGTAAAAATTATACTGTGCTAGGGAGCATTTTTGTAATTTTCTGTTCTTCTCTATTAGGAAGCTTTGTATTTCATGACTGATTTGCTGTTTCTTAATAATTTTCACATCTAAGTTGTATATTTTAATTTTTAAACCATACTCTCACCTCTTGGTATCTTCAATTTAGAGAAGATCTGCATTAACTATATTATACTTTGATTGATCTTTAAAGCTTTCCCTTTTTGCTTATTGATGAATTTTGTTATAAAACCTTAAATCCTCTCTCCACTTATATGACTTTTGCAAAAGTTCTCTTCTTTTTCTTGGTTGAGTTCACAATCTTCACATCTTTTCATTATTATACTTTTTGTACTTGGGTCTGTACTTGATTTTTAATATTCTGTAATCTATTTCTTCTTTGATTTGTCTACAATTCTTCTAACCAAAGTAGCTTCACTTCTTGCTATTTCTGATTCTTTTATTAGGATCCTTTCTTTCTTTCTTTTATTTGCTTCTAATAGGTCTGTATGAGTTTGAAGAAACCAGAAACTAGAGTCTTCTGTCCTGTATTTTGGCTTTATGATCCTGTTTTCTTGATTTTCGATCACTGTTTCTTCTATTAAGTAAAACTATTTTGCACTTTTACCTCTATATATAATATGCCTAAGCATTTTAAATTGCTGCCAGGTTATTATCTGATCTTCTAACTGTGTTAACAGCTGTTTGAGAGATATAATTTTAAGCTTTCTAAGTGTTATTGCTACTTGTGGTATAAACTTCTTTTCAAAAATATTTGCCATTTTGAAATTTTTGCTTTCACTTATAAGCTCTATATTTTTAATTTTAAATGTAATATTTAATTTCTTAGCTTTTAGCATTATTAGACAAGTTAAATTATTTTTCTAAAGATGAATACAGATGTCTAGCAATCTTTCAAACCATATGTTTTCAGTTGCTCCTAGAAGCTATATTCTTTGACTTATTTTCAATATTATTAAAATCTTTTTATGTCCTGCTAAGTTTAGTTATATATATAGACTGAAGACTTGTTTAATTAGCAGCTGATTTCATAATGCATTGCAGCTTTTGATACTTCTATGAAGAATTGTACTATTGTTGATGATCTTTGATAACTCTATTTTCTGCTTTGCTAGCATTAGTATTGGTGTTTGAAGGTCATTTATTGTCTTCTTAATGAATTTAAACACTTGTAATATGTAGTATAACTTAGAGACTATACACATATTATTAATGTATACTGTTTGCGCTACTGTAAGTTTCTTCAAATTTAATAGCCATACTGTTGAGCATATAATTTCTTTTGCTCTTGCTTTGACAAGAGCTTCATTTAGATTGTTATTCAGCTATATTCTTAGAAACTTTGTAATTCTATTTTTTTCTTTTTTTACTATCTACTCATTGCCAAAGAAGATCTTTCTATTTTTTCTTTTTTCTTTTAAATTGACTAAAATCTATTTAAACTTCTTTCTATTTATTTGAATATTATTTAGTTTAAAAAATTTTTCTGCAATCTGTATTATCTCTTTTATCTATTCTTTGTTTTTTGCAATCTAGGTTGTATCATTAGTATATGCAACTACTGCCTGCTTACATTTTTTTTCTATCATATAGTTCAAGCTGTAGTTATATAGGATCTGCTAAGATATATAATATTATAATTTTAATAATATATACAATATTTTATAGTATAGCAAAAGATATATTATAGCATAAATTTTAATAAAAGGCATGTTTATAGCATGCTAAATTTTTTTTTGTATATTAGATACTCTACTTATAAGAGTACAAATATTAAAATTGTATAGTTTAATAGTTAGCTTTAACTGTTAGTAATATTTTAGCTATTGTGAACGAGACCAAAGTGTTTAGCAAGGCACTCTACCAACCAGGCTGTCAGAGAAGTAACTAGTGAAAAAGGACCCAATCATAGGGACTAGAAGCAGGTTATAACCCTTCTAGGCTATTTGGATTGGTAGTTTAGAATAGCTGAAATACTGGTAATAGTCTGTAGATGTATTAGGGTTTGGGTGAACTCTATAAGGGTGGTAGTAGGTAACTGTAGCAGCTTCAGCTTACAGGTACTTGTCTTCAGATTCAGTATAAGTTACCGAAGAAGACTAGGCTATACAGGAATAGTAGATACCGGACTGCTCTAGCAAATGATGCACTCAAGGATGAATCAGTTAACTATACTGGTAGTTCTATAGGTAGACACGATGATTCTGAAACTTGGACTGACTAATGTATTGTATGTTCTAGATAAGATTAGACAGATTGATATAGGAAATTCAGATCAGAAGATTTAATTGGATAACTTAAGTAATAGTATGTTATAGGTACATCATCTAGTGTAGCACCGAGTATATAGATAGAATACTTAATTAGGTATCCAAAAGGTGCAGATATAGCTAAAATATATCTTTGTTAGAATGTACTTGTTTGGGCCCTTTTAAAAAGGACACCATATGATTCTACAATCTACTAAAAGCGATAACCAAAGAGGCTAATCTTGACTATAAAAAAAAAAAAATTTATTAAAGCTTATTTTCCTATACTTCTGATTATAATATATTAGTAATACCTATACAAATATTAATCTATATATAATAATTTTGATATATATTTTAATACTGATAATTACATAAACTTTGATCTTGCTTAAACTTAATAAAGCATCTATTATCAGTATATTGAAATACTATTAAGTATTCATTTTTTACTTTATTTTAGCAGTCTATATATTTTAAGTTGATTACCCTATAAGCTGCATATTATATGATTCTCAAACTTTATAATTAAGTAAATAAATTAAATAAATTAGTTCATTGCTTGTTTAATACTATAAATAATTTAATAGATAACTTTTAACTTACTTTTTTAATGAACCAAACAAGGTTTTGAGTGTAGCAATACTAGATACTTTATGTGATTATTTATTTTCTTTAATTTTTCATATACCATCTAACCAGGTTGCCAAATATATAGAGCCAAATTCTCTTTTTAGACAAAAAGAAGGTTTGCAAAAGTTGCAACTAATTCTAAAAAACACTAAGTTGTAATTTTACATAGATATCTAATCTGCCTAATTTAAATATTAAAAATATAGTTTTTTGATTAAAATATCTACCGAAGATACATAGTTGATAAAATATTAAAATATTACAAAAATATAGAAACCCAGCAAAAGCAAAACTAGGAATGATGAAAATTGCTTTTTAATAATTTATATTTTTTAACTTGATTTAATAAATATTTAAAATATTAATGATGATAGATAAAGCCAAAATTTTACTGTATACAATTAGATAATTTTAACTTTAGTGCTGTTATGAATTTTTTATTTCTTAATCAAAATATATTATCAGTTTATATTGCAAAGTCAAAGTCAGAAGATTTTATAATTATTATTAATCATGATATTAATTTTTTTTTTTTTTTTAATGTTAAAGTGATCACTTTAGGGTCTGGCACATTTTATTAAACTTTGGATCAAATGCCAGGGCAACCACATGGGCTATCCCTGACTTTGTTA